AGCGCCAGCTGGGGGCGGGGCGGCGGAACCAAGAAGCCAGGCCGCGCGCGACGCGGGGGAAGGGCGCCGGAAGGGACCGTGCCGGTGACGGAAGCCGGGAGGTGGCGCGGCGGCCGGCGGGTCTAGGAGTTTCCCCGGGGGGGCGGGGGGGTGGGGGCGGCGGCGGTCCCGATGGCCAAGTGGGGGGAGGGAGACCCGCGCTGGATCGTCGAGCAGCGGGCGGACGCCACCAACGTCAACAACTGGCACTGGTGAGCGGGGCGGCCCCGCGGGAGGGCCCCCCTGCCCCTGCCCCTGGGTGGAGGGAGGCCGCCCGGCCGGTGTCCCGGGGAAGGCCCTTCCCTCCTTCCCATACGTGGCTGTCGGTGCCGAGGTGGGGGTGTCCGGGCTGATGCCCGGGAAGGCCCCCCGCCTCCGTGTGCGTGGCGGGGTGCCCGAGCCGGTGTGCTGGGGGTGCCCGGGGAAGGGCCGCGTGTGTGTGTGTGTGTGTGTGTTGGAGCGGGGCAGGGAGGGAAGGGCTGGGGGAAGGCTAGATAGTCCCCGCGTGTGCTGGCGGCGTGGCCTGTCCCAGATTCTCACATCGCCCGGTTTTCTCGCAGGACGGAGCGGGATGCCTCCAACTGGTCCACAGAGCGGCTGAAAACTCTCCTGCTGCCTGTCAGGGTGGAGGGTGAGGAAGGGGCTTGTGAGGTGACAGAAGTGAGCAAACTGGATGGAGAGGCCTCCATTAACAACCGCAAAGGGAAGCTTATCTTCTTCTATGAGTGGGCTATCAAGCTGGCATGGACTGGTGAGTGATGTTCTCTCCTCCTGTTTCAAGGCCATATTCAATTATAAGATTAAGGATACTTATCTCATTTGGGAAGTAATAATAAAGGAAACTATTGTATTGTGATACTGTACAAAGTTTGCTTTTACAACAACCAGAGTAAGAAATGTTGATCTGAACAACGTAATTGTAATTGCAGGCACCTCAAAGACAGGAGTGAAATACAAAGGTTATGTGGAGATTCCTAATCTCTCAGATGAAAATGACGTTGATGAAGTCGAGGTAAGCATAGCTAAAGGCTAATACTGCTGGTTGTATGGCTGTTCTAATGGGAATCCTCATAGCATTAATAGTTCCTTCCATGTTACCTTTTTTAGAACATTTGTGTAGAACTCTTTTAGTGTTAGAGACTGCTTAAGTTAAGAGAATCATAGAATGGTTTGGCTTAGAAGGGACCTTAAAGATCATCTAGTTCCAAGCCCCCTGCCATGGGCAGGGACACCTTCCACTAGACCAGGTTGCTCAAAGCCCCATCCAACCTGTCCTTGAACAGTTCCAGGGATGGGGCATCCACAGCCTCTTGGGGCAACCTGTTCCAGTGCCTCACCACCCTCACAGTAAAGAATTTCTTCCTTATATCTAATCTAAATCTGCCCTCTTTCAGTTTAAAAGCGTTACCCCTCGTCCTGTCGCTACACTCCCTGATAAAGAGTCCCTCCCCATCATGTTGTATCTTTATCAAATTAATTCTTGTCTTCTAGATACAAGGGCTCTACAGCATATGAAGGTATTTAGGTATATATGTGCACTACTGTAGGCTGAGAGAGATGAAGTGAAAGATTAATAAAACTGTACTGCTGCTTGTGAAAGTTTAGCCAAAGTCTAACTGTGATGTTGAATTGAGTAATAAAAGGACCATGCAAGTATGGCTTTGTTAATCAACACTTGTCCTTCTTGTTTAGATCCATGTCAGCCTTGCTAAAGATGAGCCTGACACTAACTTGAAGACCCTGATGAAGCAAGAGGGTGCAAAAAAAATTAGAGATGCAATGAAAACTTACATCAGCACTCTGAAAACAGGTGTGTAACTGAGAGGGAGAGGTATTATGGAAACCCATATGGGGTAATGCTAAAGAAGGGATTGGGGTAACAAGAGGAGTGGTATTAGTTCCCCACTCCACCTCAACAGGAAGGAGTGAGAACAACAACAGTAACTTTTCTGTCTCTCTTGAAAATGGTTAGCATTTGGCAAGAAGCACTTCTGTCTCTAGACACTGTAGGATGGCCCAGAAAGATTGGTTTTGGTAATAACCCATAATAAACAGCACTTTTAAAATGTGTTTGGTATCCCAGTGACACAGAGAATCAGTCATTGCATGTGGCACAATCTGGCCTTTGGTTTGCTTGCTCCCTTGGAAGGTGGTGTCTTTTCTCTAGTTTGTTGGTTTTTCTCTTCTGCCACACCAGGAAAGGCATCTAGTGTTATTTGGATTTGAGAATAACTGACAACTGGAAATTGCTCTGCAGGTTTTGTTGGTGTCATTGAATAAGCTGTCTCAGCATCTGGATCAAAACTATTTTTTTATAAGATAAATCTGATTCCAACAATTGGAGTTAAATCAGTGTGCTTTGGTTGAGTTTGGCTTTGCTCTCTAGTACAGGGTGGGAATGCTACAGTTGCTTTTTATATCCATTGACTTATATTACACTACACACGCTAGATATTCAGGTTTTGCCAAGTACCAACCACCAGTGGTTGCTGTTTTTCAAGGATCAAATTTCTGTACCCTTGGGTTTTTTCAGGCGTTTTGGTGTTCAGGGTGGGAGATGCAGTCACCCAGTGGAAGATGAGAATGTTATTCAGGAAGAACTGTATGATCTTGTGGGCTGGAATAAATAAGAAAAGGTGGGAACTAAGTATTGCAGGATACAATATATATACACATGTAATAAAATGCCAGTTTGAACAGATGAAGAGGAAGGAGAAAGAGCAAACTTTTATAATTGGTAAAGGCAGAAGTGGTGGAGCTGGAGAAAAGTAAACATGATGCTGAAAGAGGCTGAAGCTTCTGGTGGAGCTATAAAAGTGCTAGTGCTGCTGGACAGGGCACTGGTGAGACCTCCCCTAGGTTTCTGTTTGTAGTGCTGGCATCTGGTGTCAAAAAAGACAAATGGAAGATGGAGTTAGAAGTAACTTTATTCTGTACTACAATGATACAAAAAGTGGAGAGCCAGTCTGATAAGAAATGGAAAAGCTTGGTTTGGTTTGTCTAGACCAGCAAGATAAAAGTATTTGAGATGTGATTGCTATTTATATTAGATGGTGGGAGACAAAAAAAGCTGCATAAAGTGTAGGGCTAATGTTAATATGAGGGCAACATGTGGAAGATAGTGATTGGTATGTCTAGGGTAGGAAGAGGAAGTAGCTTCCTAATTGTTAGTGTAGGCAGGTTCTGATACGGCCTTCAGTGGAGAGTAGAGGGCAAGAAGAATTAATTGCTTGTAAAAAGAGGTCTGGTTTTTTGGTTTGTTTGTTTGTTTTTTTTTAAAACTGTTTCAAGTCGTGGGTGCTAGCAAGAGCAGGGGAGAAACCAGGAAGCCCTTTTTGATTGTGTATTTCAAAGAACAGTTAAAAGGTTTACTTGATCTTTTATTAGTTTCATGGGTGCATTCCTGTCTTTCCAGAATTCACCCAGGGCATGATTTTGCCCACAGTGAATGGTGAACATATGGAGACAACACCTCAGGTGGCTCCTAAAGCAGAAGACCGCAAGGTAAATAAAACTGTGTAAACATGCTTTTGGATACGTGAAGAAAGGTACACAGTGTTAGATTCTGGGGCTTACAGGAGCAACCTATGCTGTTTGTGGGATATATATATTCAGGAATTGGCAATCTGTGGTGTAGGCCTGACTGCTTCAGTTTGCAGCACAGGATATTTCTTAATTCAAGCAGAGCAATAAATCTGGGTTTTACACTCAAATATGGCTATACCTAATTACATCTTTACTAAAAGCCTTTGTTTTTCCTCTTGGATGTGTTAACTACTTGTTGAGTTTTTTGTGAAGAAAGTACCTGTGTTTGTTTTGCTTGTTTTGTTAGATGGCTGCTAGCAGCAGTACTGCCACATCGCAGTCCAAATCGATAGGAGTCAAGATCCCTACGTGTAAGATCAACTTGAAGGACACCTTCTTAACATCTCCTGAGGAGCTGTACCGGGTATTCGTTACTCAGGAGGTAATGCCAGGCTTGTTCTGAGAATTGTTCTTTGCACATAGAAGGTTGTTCCTAAGAAGCTTTTTAAGGCATTCTCTAGGACACTCACAATCCACGAGAATGGAATAAGAAAACTAGTCTGCAGAACAGTTGCTTAAAGCTCGCGTGTGCATCTTTTCATACAGTTGACAAGAGAGGTTTAATGCCAGCTAGAAGCCAGTTCCAGACTGCTATCAGCACCTATCTGTAGGTGTATCCCTTACTGCATGTGGTCAGATCTCTTGGGATTTACAGTTTTGTGGTTTTTGGTTTTGTTTTGCTTTTTCCTTTTAAGGTTAGGTGGTACCAAAGCATACTTTGGGAATAGCTTCCCCTCTCCTGCGCACTATTACGTAGTTTAAGAGGAGAGGGCAGCATTGTATCATTATTTAAACATGGTCATAGTCTTTTGTTCCCCCTTTTAAAAAAAAGAAAAAGAAAAAAATACCACCTTTTCTTAGAACTGGGTTTCATTAAGGAATCAGCAAAGTAAATTAGTGTGGCTTACAGAACACTGCATAGAATATGAAAGCTAGGGTTTTTTTTTC